TAGATAAAACGAGGTATTTGCTTTAAATTTGAAATTTTAATTTATTTTAAAAATTAAAACTGATATGTATTTTTTTCTTATTATATTTATTTAATATCATATGTCATATAATTATAAATTTATCATTTTAAATGATACTATTTTTTTTATTAAACTTTCAAAATTTAAAAACTATATTATTATCAACTAATTTAAAATTAAATCATAATGAATCATATAAATTTTTTTTAATGTCTATTACTATAGTTATTAAATTTAAATTTAAGACTTTATTTAAATAATATTTTCACCAAATGTATAACTTTATTTTATTTAGATTTTATTTAAGTAAAAAAATTGAATGATCAAATAAGTCAAAAATCCTGCTCAAATATCAAATCCCTTGTCCTTTGGTCATTTAAGCATGACATGGCAATATTTTGTCATCCAAGCAGCCAGGCGAGCAAGTCCCAAACGGTAGTTAAGCCAGGCGAGCGAGTCTCAAACGGCGGTTAAGTTTTCATAAGAAGAAGGGCTTAATTGCCTTGATCTCAGAGTTTAAGGGTTTATATGCATTAATTAAAGTCTAGGGGCTTAATAGCGATTCTGGGATTAGTTCAGGGGCTTAACTTACGGTTTTGCCAAGAAAGTACTGCTATTCAAGGATTAGGAAGGGTTAGAGATTCAAGGCCGTGACTTGTTAATATTTCAATATGCTCTTAAATTGCTTTAAAAGTCGGCTCAATTAGTTAAGAGGAAAATTTTAAGTTGAAGATTTTAAATATGAATTTTAAGTCAACTAAAAAAGAATTTAACAAAAAAATATACTATTCTCCCTAATATAACTCATCATTTAACATATTTGAAAAAAATATGGTCTTAAATTACTAAACTAAGATCTCTTTATCCTGGCTAAGGATTGTTGGAAAGTAAAACCCAAGTCTCTTTCCAAGCTGCAATAATCCCCTTTTTAAGACTAAATCTGTAGGAAGTGATTGGCAGTCAACGAGAGAAGCTTCCAAGGAGAGACCTATGAACAAACTTACAATAATGTCTTCAATCATACAGATAAGAGACGAGGGTAGAAAAAGATAACTCATCAACCTTAAGACATTTGCGGAACAATTAGAATCATTAAACCACAAACTTCCCCATCTCAAAGATAACGTGGACCCAGAATTACTTAAGCTTACCTCAATCAAGTGCGTGATAATATACATCAACTAGTTCCAATCATACAGCTCCAAGAAAGCTTGACTATAATTCAGAATCACCTGGCGTTATTTCATCGCACCAGCATAAGTGGATTTTGGCCAAGAGGAAAATAGCCAGTTACTCATATTTCTATATAATTCCTCCTTCATGAAGCCTCAGATCTCCACTGATTTGTCTTGCTGATGCATTATTCCCATGGCAAAACAGACATGCTGCAGGCCATGCAGAAAGATGCACTTCACTTAGCTTCAAAGGCTCTTGACAACTTTGAAGCCTGTGAGTCTACAGATATAGCTCGCTTTATAAAGAAGGTGATGGCTAAACACCAGAAATTACTGTAACTCAATTCTGGATATTAAATACATGAAGAAACCAGATCTGACATTCACCTCTTCTGATGATGTGATGTTTTGTTTATACAGGAATTTGACAGGGCGTATGGAACTGGATGGCAATGTGTTGTGGGGAGAGACTTTGGTTCATTTGTGACGCACTGCCAGTGCCATGGCCGCTTCATCCACTTTTTGCATTGGCAGTCTAACCATCTTGCTCTTCAGGGTTGCAGTAGTAAATCAAGCAGACAAAGCATGATTGTTCCTGGATATGGAAAGTGTAAATGCTTGCTTAGGCTAGCTTTCATATTGTTTGCTTCTCTGTTCTCCTCTAGTTGCCTAAACAAGAAAAGAAACTTGGCAGTCCACGGATCTCTATCTTAATTTTTTTACACCCTCCATGATTTAGTTGTATGCATGTGATGCCAGCAGGAGCCTCCAGTATGATGAATTGTGTTCCTCTGAAACCCTATGAAGCTGAAAACCAAAACATTATTGTCAGAGAAAGGTAGAAGAATGGTATACACAAGAATAACACCAGTGTGAGACAGCTCCCACTAGAAAAACTATTTGGCTATATAAACGTGAGAGAGAGAGAGAGAAAGTACCAAGCATTTTACAGATTTCACAGAGTTTGCACGGAAGGTGGAGCATCCCTCCTTGGGCCGGCAACTGATCGGTAAACATAAACTTTGTCAGCCTGACTATCATCACTTCCATCCTCCTTCATTACCTCAACATTTAACCTAGGCATCACCCTAGCCAAAAGCCGACAGCCATTCATTGTCACATTGCAGGCTGACATCCAAAGTGACCTCATAGACTCATACTTCTCCAAACCTGACAGTAAAGCTTTATTCCCAAACGGACAGTCTCTTATCTCAAGCTTCCTTAATTTTGGACAACCTTCCAGCACGCACTGCATCCCCCAGTCACTACTGCCAGCAAAGGCCACAGAAAGAGTCTCCAAGTTTTTCGCATACTTCCCAATATACTCAAATGTCAAATCAGTTAAGAGGCCTGAAACTGAAAGCCTCTGAAGTTTAGTGCATGTCTTAACCACAGCACCAAAGGCTTCATCCATAGGTTCACCTGTGGTACAGTCTGGTTGACGAGGGTTCATTATGCATAGGCGGAAGTGTGTAAAATTAGGGCAGTTCTGCACAACAGTTGCTACAGCAGCATTAGTCATTTGCCGACAGAAGTAAAGCACATAATGGAGTCTTGGACAGAAACATGAGACAGCAATAAATCCAGCTTCAGTTACCCCATGGGCAATTTCCTCATCATAGGGATCGAGGGGGAAAACACGAAGTTCCTCAAGCAAAGGACAGTTCAATCCAACAGCCTCTAGCCCTTTATCTTCTACTGTATCCATGACCTATAAAAAAGAAAAGATTGTTAAGTTAAAACCTCACAGAGTTTAGAATTATCAAGGTAAACGGACATGCTGAAGATTGTTTATTCAAACAACACAACAGGCAACAAGGAACAAGAAGTCAGAACTGTGATAGCAATCCATTCATGTTGAGGCATGAGTTCCAAAAAATATGGGTCACCGATTGATAATGAAAAACATAGATACCTGGGGAAATATAAAAGTCTATTTGCCTGAGACCCACATGACATAAGCAAATAAACCATCAGAAAGCTTTAATTACAGATGTTCTTCAACTAGAAGAAAAAGATAACAGAACGTGATAAGCCACAATCACTTTGTAAAAGAGCACAACAATATCTACCATGCATTGAACCCATTGGATGAGGTTACCGAAGAATTTCCTTGTAGGAAATTAGAAGTGGTTACATGACTTCTTCATTTTGTTCTGGATGACACAAAAGGATGGCAAAAGTGGTTTTTACTTAATTGGATAGATAGAACTCATCTAACTCCTTGGTATGGCAATAAACAATGAATTAAGCAAACTCGATCAAAAAGTGTGAAAAAGTAGTTCCTTCTTCTGTCTTTTTAAATTATTCATGAAAGAATTATCTTTCAGAAAATGGCAAGGTTGAGGATAAAAAGAAAAAAGGACCCTCACCCAAAGACGCTGAAGTCGGGGACAATGACGAAGAAGCTTAGCAAGTTCACCACCTTGCAAAGCAGCATAGCTCAAGTTCAAGAAAGTTAAATTGGTGCAAGCAGAGTAAAGGGCAGGGAGATAGATGGCCTTGACATCCCATAAACCAGAAAGCGTATGTATATTATTGCAACTGCTGAATGCACTTTCAAGCTCTTCATATTGTGGAAAAGTAAGTTGTTGTGAGAATGATCCTGTACCAAGCTCTGTCAATTGAGGAGCATGGACAAGAAGCCTCGGTAATTGCTCCAAGGATATGCTTTGGTTGACCTTCAAAACCCTCAACGATTTGCACCGACTTACAAGTCTCTCAAGCACATCAAAATTAATATCACTTGTCAAGTTGGCAAAGTTCAGCACTTCCAATAATGTGAAGCTCTCAGGGAAGCAACTCAACCAGCTGCCTCCTCTATCATCAATGCCATTCTCCTGAATATCAAGTTCAATCAAGTTCCTGCAATAAAATAATACTTCAGAAGTTTCTTTCACAAGCAAAATCCAACATGTAAGAGCACAATAAAGAGAAAAGATCATCATCGTATAATTTCCATTTTTCCAAAACTGAAACAGTTAAATAACTAGATAAAAGTTTTCTATGTCCTTCCTTGAGCTTTTAACATCTCCATGACCACAGATATCGATTACCAATAAAACGAACAGGTAAATATTTCCCAAATCATTTCTCAAATGATTTAGTTAGTTAGCCCATTTTATAATCATGTTCTGGTGATAGTGGTTCAGCTCAATACAAGAAGAACAAGGGATCCCTTCTTTTAGATCGTCATGAGAACAGAGTCTTTGATTGGATTAACGGATTGAAGTTAATTCTTCCTATCTGAAAAACCCAAAATGGACTTCTTATGACAAGCCACAAGATCCAACTAATCAAAATAAAAACTTCTTATTTGAAAGAAGTCTTCCATATATTAAGAAGAAGAGATGTTCTGAAATTAACTGAAATTTTCATCCCACCATGTACACTATTGACATTCCGGAATAAGATATCAGAATCAGAATTCTTCACAAGTAAAACATCTTTTATTAACATAAATTAATTATCCAATGTAAATTGGGGGTATTTTGTTGGCATGACATCAATGATAGCCATCCACATCATCACAGGTCAAACGTCACATCAGAAAAAAGCATTACAGAAAGGGATAAAAAAGAACCATTTCTTTTTCTTCCTTTTTTTTTTCATTTTCCTTCTGTAGGCAACGCGTTTATTCCCAAGACAATGCGCGAATAATAACATATCCAATCAAGTAAATATCGGGAAATTTTAAAAAAGAAAAAGGGTAAAAAAACAACTAAATTTCACACCCCCTACATACGCACTCGATCAAAATGATTAAATGAAACAAATATTCAGATCTCTAGCAAGAAAAGCATTCGATCACAAAGTTGAATTGAAATACCGTTAAATCTGAAAAATTCGTAACAAATTAAAGAAGAGAAACGAGAACACTTACTTGCAGTGAGTGGCAATGGCTGATAACCCGTTAGTGCTGAACCCATCACAGCTCAAAAGCGAAAGCGATTTGAAATTAGGAAAGGAAACAGACAGGAACTCCAAGCTTTCATCACTGATGGTCATTCTCTTGAGCCTGAGTTCCTCAAGAAACGGGCACTCGTCGGCGAACACCACCAGCCACGCATGGATATCTGCGCCCCAATTCAGCGGGACCAAATTGAAGTCTGAGAACCGGGGCTTCCCTTTGAGCGTCACGCTCCGGATATTAGGGAAACGGCGAGCCACAATTTCCGGAGATACGGAGTAACAGTTGCCGATGAACACGTGAGTCCTCGACCACCGCTCCGCGTTGTACCAGTCCTTGCACACGAGAGATACTGCGCTACGGTCCTTGTGAGATTTAAAAAGAGACAGAACTCGCTCTATCACCTCGTCCGGGAATGAGGATCGACGAGTTAACTCTTCCGAGTTCGGCGAGTTTCTGAATCTCTTCAACTCAGACTCCATCGTACTCCACACAGCTCAAAAAATTAAGAAAACAAGACTTCACTAGATCCGTCAGGAAGGAGAACGGAGCCGGAGACGCAATAACATATCTAGAATGAAAGAGAAAAACGAGAGATAGCCGAAGACCGGAGGCGCTGCCGGATCTACAATGAATGAAGGGCGCCGGAGGAAAAGGCTCGGTCGACGGAAGAAAGTCGTAGCGACTGAAAATCCGAAGAAGACAGCAGGGCAGCAGCTCGCGTATTATGGCAAAAGCA